CGGGGCCTGGGTTTCAGCTGTCCACACCACAGCAGTGGGCAACGAGCTTAAAGCCCCTGATGGCTCTGGGCGCTGACCAAGACCTATCTTTTTGTTCTGGCCGTCCAGTGGGATGTTCAGTGCTCTTCTCCAACACCACAGCTCAAAGATGCCAATTCTTTTCCTATCATCCCTGTTCACTGTCCAGTTCTCAAACGGATAGCAAGTAATTGGAAAGACTATGGTTGAATCAGATGAACCTTAGACCTCAAACTGACATTATTCCTCAATAATTTAAAGAAATTCCTAACTGCAGATTTTCCCAGTGCAATGCATCTCCTTATTTCTTGACTGTTGGTACTGCTGGTGTTAATTGTGGATCCAAGCAAGATGAAGTTATTCACAGTTTCAATTTCCTCTCCATCCTTTATGACTCTGCCTGTCGGTCCAATAGTAAAAATCGTTTGTTGGAATTGGGAAGGGAGTGTATCACGGTTGTAGTCTCTCTCCATACCGATTCAATCTGTATGCTAAGCAAATTATCCAAGAAGTTGGACTCTGTGAGGAGGAGTGTGGCATCAGGATTGGAGGGAGACTCATAATAACCTGCATTATATAGATGACACAACCTTGCTTGCTGAAAGTGAGGAGGACTTGAAGCACTTGTTACAGAAGATCAAGGAATACAGCTTTTGGTATGGATTGCATCTCAGTGTAAAAAAAAGAAAACAAAACCCAAAGATTCTGGTGTCAGTAGATAGTCTTTATGGAAAAAAACCAAAACAGAACAGGGTGTTTACTTCCTTCTGATTTATTTAACCTTTCCCCTAGATATTTACTCTCATCCTAACATCATAATTAATTCTTAAACTGGAGTTCTAACTCAATTTTTTTATTTGTCATCAGACCCCCACAACAGGTAGCCCACCACCTGCATCATTAAACACATGCCTCCCTGACAAAAATTTAACCTTGTAGCTAAACCTTTCAAACATACATCCCCTATCAATAGCCCCTTTTCCAGCAGCTCCACTCCCTGTCAGAGCCAGTATCTTCTGCTTTATCCCCTGATGCTTGATTATAGGAACTACTTTTTTAAATTTTTATTATATTATTTTTACGTGTACTGTCAAATCAGATCTGACTGGTACAGGAGGAGATTGCCCCCTCCTTCTCCAGCAGAGCATCTGGAGGATTTGAACCACATACCTCTGGGATTGCAGTGCAGTGTCTTGCCACTAGGCCACCAGAGCTCCCTTGGAACTACTTTTATTCCTCAACTCTCCACAACCCCCAGAATGTCCTGGGCATACATGACCCAAACCCGTGTGGTAGGCTACAGTCGAGATGCATTAAGCTCCAGCCCACGTATGCCATAGAGATTTCAGTCCACCTCTCTGCCTGCCATGCAGCAATAAGAAACCTCAGAGAAGAGATCGTCAAGGTACATATTGGAGCTGTAAGGCTTCCTTCCTCCCATCCATAGACCTTGAGTTGTGATGAAAACCTCTGCTGTTTCACTCTGACTTGTTCACCGCCACAGCAAACATCACCAACATCTATCTACCTGCCAAGAAACTTGATGTTTCTTTGTAGTAACACAGCCTTGTCCTATATAAAGAAGATGGGGTTTGCACCTTAGTTCTGGTGTACCCCAACCCTGAATTAATCAAATGAGGGATGTCCAAGGGTTTCAACCTGTCCCTCCAAGAGAAATGTCTGAACCTTCCACCCAGTCAGTGCAAGAAACCAAGAAGTATGACTTTAGAATAAATAGCCAGAAAATTCCACTCTTCCAACGTACAGGCCTCATCATCCACCTCCAGGAGGAAGCATCGGTTGAAGCTGAGACGCTGTCCCAGACTCCTCAAGAGTGAGGAGTGTGAATCTCTAAGAATGAGACCAAACGGGACTTTGGGAACAGGGCCAGTGGCCAGTGGCAGGAAGATACAGGTAGGACCTTGAAAAGAGGCAATCCTGAGAGCCGGGTGCGAGAGGCGGCAGCGCGGAGGGGACGAAGCCGAGTGGAAATCAAAGTCGGCTGGGAGACAGTGGGGCTGTGACAGAGCGCAGGAAGAGGTCGAGGCCGCGAGTACCGCTGACACGCAATGGGGAAGAAACAGAAAAACAAGAGTGAAGACAG